CTCTCCCCGCACAAACCCCTCCCCCCTCCCTTTTGCTCCTCTCCTTGAAAAGCAAAAGAAAAACTCCCTCATTGGTACACAATCCTGCCCGCACCTCCCCAAACCCCACCCCCTACCCCCAAATATAATCCACTCTGCAACCCTCATTGCATACTCCTACGATAAAAATAATGCCCTAAAATATAATACTTTTAGACTAGAAGAGCCAATTTTTAAAATGGAAATGTCCTTCTCTCTACCATTTAACTCTACTGATTATAGGAACAAAAATTATTTACATCCTCAGGAGCTTCATCCTGCTCAAAGGTACCATCTTCTGCCTCCTGTGTGTCCTGCATTCCTGGAGAAGACACTCTGATTTTCTTGGGCTCTGGTTCTTCCAGGTCTTCAATCTGTTTGACAAAAATGGGGAAGTAAGAGTTGACATAATGTGCTCTGGATGACTATTATCCCTGATGACATAGGAACATCAGGCAAAGAAACTCAACAAACTGAAATAACTGCATTACTGGAAGCCATAAACTTAAAGTCTAAGAAAATTTGTTCAGTAGTTGCAGATTACTGGTGTAAAATAATGCTTTCTAAAACTGTATGATGTACTAAATAATCATCTGATTCTCAATTCAATGAGCCAAGGAAGATTGCAAAACAGGACAATGTCTCCAATCAGAAAGAAGGAATACCTCATGCAGATAGGTGATGTTCCAAGCTCTCAGTTCACTGTCTGAGGCCCCTGTGATGAGTCTCTTTTCTCCTGACACCAGAACCAATCCCCACACCTAGGGTAAAAAAATATACAAATGCTGTGAGTGTCTGGGGTAAAGTTAGAAATCTTTTTAGAATATATCTATTTATAAACATCTCAAATTCAACATAAGTTTTAGAGGGGAAAGGGTAACAGATACTTTGTTAAGAGATTCCAGATTGTATGATGTGACATTTCAAAAGTTTGAGTAAATTATAATAAAATCCACTTGGCATTTTCAAAGTCTTAAGAGAAGGCATACGAAGGTAACACTTTAAAAAGGCACCAAGAGAAATATCACTTCTAAAGAGAAAAATTGTTGCTTATGAAATATTACTGCTATTCTATGCCATCAGGTTAGAACTAACTTATAGCTAGCTGATCCTTGGCAGGTTTTCAGAGGCTGTACATCCCACAGAAGGAGACTGCCCATCGTTTTTCCTAAAAAATGGTTGGCAGATTTGAACTAAGTAAGTCTGGAGTGACAGTGCAACTCCTTAGCACTAACCCATAAGACATCCCTATAAGATACTAAGTTTCTAATTTCTCATCTTTAAGTTTAGATAATGGCAATTCAGTATAAATCTTAAACCATAGGGTTCACTTAAATTATGATTTAAGGAGTATATACTTCTCTGCTTTTAGCAGTGCCTCTGGTATAATTTCAGTCTCAAATTTCCAAGAAATAAACAATGATAATGACAACATTGTTGTAAGTAAGCATAGAATCTACTCTGCTTTCCTTCCTCATTAAATCCAGGTATGCTTTAAAACCCTGCTATGAACAAAGCATGTAGGAGGATGCCTAAATGTGTAAAATGTTCCTTAAAATGCATTAAATGTTTAGGTAACCAAGAGGGTAACAGAAGCAAAGTGTTGGCCACCCACTGTGCACAGCACCAGTAAGTCTCTTTACAATCATAAAACTGGACACTTAACATATACACATGAAACTTGGATATTAAAAATTCATTTAACTAAAATTTTTGTTTGTTTTTGAGGGTTTTTAAAAATGGTTTCCCCTTTCTGGTGTACCATCAAATCAGGTCTGACTGACACATAAGATTGTCCCTCCTTCTTCAGCAAAGCATCTGGGGGATTTGAACAGTATGGCTTTGGGATTGCAGCACAGCTTCTTGCCACTAGGCCACGAGAGCGTCCTTTAACACCAATTTTTATTAAATGCTACAGTTTAGTCTAGCCCTGTGGCTGGCACTTTTTCAACCATAGTAAATGTAACAATTTTTGAGAAAGAATACAATTACCATAAATAGCATATAAAAACAAAAGTGAAGAGAGAAAAAAAATATTTTCTCAATTTTTGCCCACCCTTTCCCTTGATTGATGACCCGACATTACCTCTGTTCGGTGACCAACCATGGTTTTGAAGCAGTGCTGTGTATCAAGGTCCCACCATTTCACCACAGTGTCCTTCCCACTAGCAGAAAAAATAAGAGAAGCAGTAGGAAGGATTAACAAACAGAAAGATCAAGGACTCATTTTTTTGTTTAAAGATACTATATATGGCAATAATGCCTAAATTTAATATACTACTTGTTGTTTTTTTTCCAAAAGTAAAAATTTTAACTCTTAATATGGTAATTTTTATTTAGAAAATAATTTATCTACAAGCACAAAAATGGTTTGGCATTCACAGTAGCAAAGAACAAGAACCCTGATTTACCCCTTCCTTTTCCATCATCCCAGTTTCCTCAGACTGCCTAACCTGGAAACATGTTAGATCTCTCCTGCTCCCTTATTCCATGTCCAGACAAACAGCTTCTGTATCCTGAAAATGCCTCCTCTGTTAATAACCTTTAAATCTTTCCAATCCACTTTTATACACAAAGTTGAATTTAAGACTCCTAGGTGGAAAACTAATAAAACGGAAAGTTGTGATGAGTCAGCAATGACTCGATGGCACTGGGTCAGGAGGTATATGTGTTTTGGCTGAATTATTTAAACAGTTTCTTTACCCAGTTTCTGTACCATTCCTATTCTCTTACTTAAAAAAAAACACCACGAAAACACCAAACAAATAAAAAAGCAAAAACAAAAACAAAAACAAAACCACAAACAAACCCCTTTATACTGCTTCACAATGTTCTCTGTAGAGTCAAAATCTGGCTCTTCAGCACTATTCTCAAAACTTCCTCTTAACTCATACTTCATCTCCTAATATAAAGGGCCCATCTTCTGCTTCAAATGCCTTTTCACTAACACCCCACCTCACAGTACTGATTCCTTTCCTCTGTTAAGCTGTAATGTGTAATTTTCTACCAGGATTTTAGACTTCATCACAGAATCTGTGCCTCTGAACAAGACACACACACCTGTATCCTATCCCATAAGAAGAAATCCACTACCACTGCCAGCATTTAGAACTCCTTCATATCTTTCTTCTCTTTTTTTCATCCATCCCTTCTTTTAAACCATTCCCAGAGTTCCTCCAATTAATGCCTGACAACCCTTCTGATCCAAGCTTTCCTGGGTAGTTCCTGTTATTAGTTGCTATTGATTGCAACTCACAGTGACCCTTTGTGTTTAAAGTAGAACTGTTTCACAAGGTTTTCAAGGCTGTGACCTTTTGCAAGCAGATCACTAGCCCCTTTTCTTGAGGCTTCTCTGGGTAGGTTCCTCCATACTGTCAGTTAGCAGTTGAGCAGATATTAAGGTTAGCTATGCTAAATTTTTGGTATTTTTCAAATAGTTCACCTAATAGATAAATATTCAGAGAATATACAGTATATATATTCTGTATATTCATATATACAGTGTACCATCACTTCTAAAAAGTAAGTCTACATTAAAGAAATGCTTAGTATTCACATCTACCCAATGTTGTTCTACATTTAGTGTTGATAATCAAGAAGGCAGACAAATATCAATTTACAAAAGGTATAATACTATTTGACAAGGAAACAAAACCTATCAAGTGGGGAAACAACAACCTCTTCAACAAATGGTGCTGGCAAAACTGGAGTATTACCTGCAAAGAGCTGAAGCAGGATGCACACCTTTCACCATATACAAAAATCATCTCAAGGTAAATCAGAGAAGCTGGAGTAAAGCCAAAAACCATAAAGATAATAAGAGACAAAGAGGGACCAGCTTAGAAAGCCTAGCCCATGGTATAAAAGGGTTGACAAATACAGCCAGAAATACACAACCAAGAGAGGATAAAACTGATGAATGAGACCTTCTAAAGATTAAATCCCTGTGTGCATCAAAAACTTTTTCCAACAGGGTACAAAGAAAACCTACTGACTGCGGAAAAAAACATTTGGTAATACCATCTCAGGCAAGGGTCTCCTAACAACGTTACAGATTCCTACAGGTTCTCTATAAGAAAAAAAGACTGATAATTCAATTACAAAATAGACAAAAGACATGGAAAGACTCCTCACAGAGGAAGCCATTTGGATGGCCAATAGGCACAAGAAGAAATGCTCAAAATCACTGGCAATAAGAGAGATGCAAATTAAAACCACAATGAGGCCAGTTTAGGGTCTGTGTCAGGAAAAGGAAGTCCTACTCATATACAGTGCAACCCAAAGGTAATAAAGGAGGTCAGAATTGCTTCCACTGTGGAAAGCTGGGCCACATCAGTAGACAGTGTCACAGACGAGAACCACAGATAGGCAAGGGAGTAGAGAGGAAGCTCCCATTAACTTGCTTTAAGTGTGGATCTGAAGGACACTTGGCCAAGGTGGCCCACATCAGGTCCTCGTGGCTGACAGGACTGACAGGCCCCAGCTCCCAGATGGAAACAAAGGAGGACACTTCAACGATTTAGATCCTCCCAGAAGAACTGTGGGTGAGCATTAACATTACTGGTAAGTATATTCATTTTCTCCTAGTCACAGAGTCTACTAATTGGTCCTAAACGCCTTCTGAGGTCCCAACTCTTCTCACTATTTCTTAGCTGTTGGAATGGACGGAAAACCTCATAAGCAGTTCCTTACTTCACCTCTGCCTTGCATGCGGACTTCCAAGTTGTAAAACAACCCAGTGGTAGATGGAATTTGCTCCAGGACTTAAGAACAGTAAATGACATAGCTGAGCCTCTACATCTTGAGGTTCCTAACCTCTACACTATAACAGACAAAGTGCTAGTCAATAGGCCTTTTATTGTAAGAACCACCTTCCCTCTGTAACTTGATTTATGCCACTATTAGAACCTCTACTCGGAATATTATTGCTTTTTAATCTTTGACTCATGTACTTTTAACTTGTTAGCTAAATTTGTGTCTTCTAGGCTGCAACACTTCCATGAAACATCTTCAAGGATATGAACATGTATGGCTAAGCACAACTGATAACAGTGCATCTAAATTCCAAAATCAATCTCCATAATAGTCTATGTGTTTCCTACTGCCAAAGGGGCCCTTTAGAGTAGTGAGAGAAGATCTTCACCCTGAAACCTACAGCGTCTCTTTTCAGCAGGAAGTAGCTAAGAGAATACGCCATCCCCTTTCCTTATGAATCAGGGTGAAGTCCCTCTCAGGGAGGAGTGATAGGGAATGGCAAAGGACACACTGACAAAGGAGATTAATCAGAACTGGCTTTGACAAACACTGTGGCAATTGGACAATTAAAACAGACATTCAGGGGTGGGGGAAAAAAGAACGAACTAGGGAGGAGGGCAGAGAAAACAGTGCAACAATGAATGAATGAAAACCCAAAATCTCTGTAAATGTTCATTAAAACTAATAAAAAAATATTAAAAAAAAAACCAACCACAATGAGATAACATCTCACCTCAGTAGCAGTAGCAAAGTTTAACAGGACGGCAAGTAATAAATGTTGGAGAGGATGTGGAGGTATAGGAATTTTCATATACTGGAGAGGGGATTAAAAAATTGTACAACCACTCTGGAAGGCAGTTTAGCATTTCCTCAAAAAACTGAACATAGAAATTCCATATGACCCAGTTATTCCACTCCTAGAAATATACCCCAAGAAAATGAGAACTGAACACAAATGGAGATTTGTACACCAATGTTCAAAGAAGCATTACTCACTATCACAAGAACATGGAAACTGGCCAAATGTCCAATCACAATCGAATGGATTGAGAAATTGTGGTAAATGCACCCGATGGAATACTACACAGCACTCAGGAGCAATGATTTTAAAAATTACTACATAACTTGAGAGGGACTGGAGAGCATTATATGCTGCGTGAACTACCTCAGTCTCATGGAGACAAATATTACATAAGACCATTATTATAGAAATAGAGAGAACTAGTGAAACATGTATGAGGATCAGAGGAGGTGGGGGTAGGGTCAGAGGGGTGAGGATGGGCAGAGGGGAAATCACAGAGTTACACAATTTGATGGGTGAATGGAGGGGTGGGTAAAGGAAAGGGGAAAGACCTGGCAGTGATCTGGAAAGACAAGGTAATGGTGGACATAGAGTTCAGTGTTGATTAATTTTATAAAATATAATCAATAAGAATGATTGTATGAAACACATTGTGAATGAAGGATTGTGTGAAACACAATGTACATAAATTTTAGAAAGCAAGTCAATATAAAATAAAAATTTATGAAAAATATTTTAATAAAAAGGTATGTCAAAGGCTTAAGCAGCATGGGAAGTGGTACCAGAGAAAATGAATGACAAATCAGAAAAGGGAATAAAAACACTGCACATAACCATAGAGAAAGCTCCTGTGATACCTTACACAAACATAAGGAAGGAAAGGAAAGTAGAGTGAAACATAATGTGGAAAAACAATAAGGAATAGCGCAAATTCTCCTTCTTAAAATATCTCCTTGGAAGCAGGAGTGGCATCCACTTCCTAAATAACATGCCTCTGGAAACTCTATGAACTTTGATAAATGTCGATAATTGTAGAGGGGCTTCAGGCCTTTTGTTAATAGGGTCACTATGAGTAGTGCTCAACTTGATGGAAATCAACAACAAAAACAAAATATCCTCAATAAATTAACCTGGAAGAGAACTGAAATGGAACAATTTTTTCTTTACCTAGTAACTAGCAGATTCTTTTCACGTAGAAACAATGCTTGTGTGATGGCATCCTTGTGTCCCTTCAGACGGTAGAGTCCACTTTCATTGATCACATCCCAGACAATAATATCTGTGTCCTAAAATGATCAAATAATAGAAGGAAAGGGGGAAAAATCATTTTCTCTATGATATAGGGCCAACTTTGACCAAATACTATCATTATAAAAGCAGCATACAGTTTTCATAGTAAATTTGGAAAATTTAGAAAAACTCCATCTAAGAATAATCAGCACAGTGTTTTTTATTATTTTGATGTTCTTTACATAGGTATCCACATTGTTGTTTTTCAGAAAACTGAGCTATTATTTCCTACCATTTTGTAATCCTTTCTTTCCATTTAATGCTGTCAATCCCAATGATATACTGCAATCTCCCTAAACAATTTTCTATTTTAGATGTTAAGATAGTCTCATTTTCTGCTATTAAAATAAAACAACAGCTGCCCTCAAGAGAATTCCAGCTCCTTGTCTCCCTGTATGCAACAGTAGATCTGTGCTCCTGTTTTCAATGGCTGCCTTATGGGTGTAGATCACCAGGATGTTTTCTAAGTCACGTCTGGGTGGACCTGAACCCTCAACCTTTCAATATGCAGCCAAGTGCAATAATAATTACTTGTAACACCTAAAGACTTCAGCTATTGTATATATGTCAAAATGAGCATTCTTGCTTATAAATCTCTGTATGTATCTCAGACGAGAAAAAGCATTAAAAAGAGAACTCTTGGGTTAAGTTTATGTCTATCACTTCTTGGCCTTTTGGCTAAGATCAAGTGTAGTATCTATTTTTATCAATTTAAAATCTGATATGTACCCTGTCACAGAGGTCAATATATTAAATGGATTTTTGGAACAAAGAGAATAGGAGCTTGCTCCATTCACTTCACTCATCGACCTGGTATTGCGGTGTATAAGAGAAAATAAAAAAAGTTTACGTCTAATGTTAAGATTTCTGATAAACACAATCAAAACGATCTCCAAAAACAATATACCATATACAATGCCAGATTCTTCACTCTCTTAATATCAGGTATTAACCAGTTTTTTCATTGCCTACTCTTAAATTCATGAGGTAATAATGCAGCCTCATGATTTATTTAAATTTGCATTTCCAATTATCTTTGAAAAGTTTTTTACCTGTTTGTCTTTTAAAGTTTTCAATTTAAGTCTTTTGTCTATCCTTCAGTATGTGTCATCTTTTACTTGACTGTAAATTACAACTAGATGAATGCTATTAATTCTCTATATTTAAAAATATTACTTCATTTATTTATTGTTTCCTTTTGGTATAAGGCATGAAATAAAGCCTTAACTTAGAACAGTCCCCCAGAAAGAATAAAAGTATCCTTTAATAATGTTAGGAAATTATTTTTTTTTATTTATCAAAAATATTTAAAACTTCTAAACAGGAATATAAAAGTGGATTCACTTCTGGAATATGGAGCATGTGTCAGGGTCAGTGAGACTGGCTCACGATGGGGCAGGGTTCAGAGCTGCTATACATAGTGTTACTGTGAGATGCAGGCAACTTGACGGCACATAACAACATGATAATCTATTTTGAGTTGGCCAACATAACATTTTTAAAATCATAGCTTTATAATGTATATAATATCTGAAATACCTATATTATTATTTTTCCGCCAAATTCTGGCTTATCAGATTAATTTTTTTAAATGTTTTAAACTCATTTGGTAAAGTTCTAAAAAGCACATTTTAAAAAAATCTCTGAAATACTTTATCTAAATTGTCTGAACGATATAAATTCATTAAACAACGTATCATTTTAATACTTTGCCCATTCAATATGACTTTTACCTCAAGCCTTCTATTACACTTTTTAGGAAACTGACATGGTATTTTTCTACTTGTTACTTAACATTCCACAGTGAATAGAATCTATCTCTAATCTTCAAGCTGAAGAGCTCACACTTACAGAAAAGCTTTGATTTTACCAAAATCACTGGCAAGTAAGTATAGCTTTGTTTCTCTCTTTTCCAGGCTGTCTCTTCTCCCCTGTTTTTGGGTCAAACTCAAACTCATTGCTATGGAGTTGGAATCCACTCTTGGCTGACCCTGTAGTGGGTTTTCAAGGACTATCAATTGCATGGGAGGAGCCCATCTTTCTCCCAAGGAGCAGCTGGTGGATTCAAATCGCCTGCCTTCAGGTTGGTAGCCCAACTTTTCACAAGTCCACCAGAGCTCCCTTGGTTTTGGGTGGGATTTCCAAAATGTTATACAAAAAACATACATCTACCCATCTATCTATGTAGAGAGCGAGCACGCACGTTCGTGTGAAAGAACTATTAAAGATTTAGTTTCCATTATGATATTCTAATTAGTCAAGGTCAAGCAGTATAAGGAGTTGCACTACCAACTCAAAGGCAGACAGTTCAAATACAGTAGCTATTCCTGCAGAGGAAGATGGACAATCTCTTTCAATGCAATTTCTATAGCCTCTGAAAACCCATCAGATGATCAGCTCTAATACGAGTCTGTTTCAACTCACAGCACATAACAACAATATGACTCAAGGCTATGCCAAGAAACAAAATGAACTTTCCAGTTCATATCCATTTCCTCATTCTATTTCCACAAACTATATTATTTCATGTCTTTGAGAGTTGTTTCACCTCACAGCTTTTTGTGAATAATCAACATCATTAACACAAGCTTTATAATGCTTTAATATGACAAAATCTGGGCACTTAAAAATTCCAGGTCTCACCTTGGACCCTGATGCTAGCCTGCCTCCTAGCTGATCATACTTCAAGGTAGTGACAGCAGCTTTGTGTCCATTGAAGGTCACATTTCCTTCCCCACTCAGGAGACTGAAGATTCGGATAGACCCATCCTCATAACCAACAGCCAAGTGCAGCCCATCTGGGGAGGGGCATAAGCAAGTGACCTCTTGTTTTAGCCCCTGAAGGATAAGGATCTGAAATGGTTAGGAAGAAAAAATGAGAAGTTAAACATGTCTTCTTGGAAAAAGTTAAGGGCAAAGTAAAATGACAGCATTAATAATACCAAAGCACTTTAAGAAATAATAATGAAATTCTATAGTATAGTTCAAGTCCTTTAATACAGGAAATAATATTTGGACTGGCCTCTGAAACACTCAACAGAGGGTGAAAGTATGTTTTCCAAAAGTTTGCAGTGGTCTAATTCTCATAAAAATTGTCCAGTAAAGGGCTGTAAAACTATCTCCATCTTGAGAGCCATTTTATAAGAAATCAATTTGCATAACACCAGAGTACTCATAGTAGTTTTAGCACCAAAGTCCTTTTAGTACACGCAAGCATTAATTTCTTAAGAGTGGACAGCGTAAAAATTCCATAATTGGTTTGACAGAAGTGGCAGGCTTAGGAAATTTAATCACACTAATTCCAAAACCTAGTTAACATTTTGGGTCTCATTTATATAAAGTGAAAAGCCTCAGTTAATAAATCTGAGTAGTATTCCTTTTAAATGACTGTTAGATGCTGTAAACTCAATTCCTACTAACATCAACCCTTTATGATAGAACAGAATGGCCTATATGGTTTCATACAGGCATAGATCATGAAATCTTTTCTCTTAAGCAGCTACTGATGGGATCGAACGACCAACTTGTCAGTTATCAATAAATTACTTAACCTTTGCACCGTGATGGCTCTTATGTTATCACCAGCCATCAAACAAGTAAAATTTTAAAACAGGGAGATTTGGTAAAGCAAATCTTTGGTAAAGGGGGATAAAAGTCAGGAACAAATGACTGTTAATCATTTAAAAAAGAAATCATTACTATCTAAGAGATAATCTGCTATTTGGGTGTAGGTTTTTGTTGTTCTTTTTAATTTAGTGTAGAACACAGAACCTGATGTTAGCTATCTAGAGCTGAAGGAAAATGATTTCACTTCTAATGGCACACACAAAATTGTTTGCATGTGAAACTATAGCCCTCTCTCTCCTACCAGAAATACCCATAAATTATTATTACTCCTGTAGATATTCATCTCACCTTTTCTCCTTTCCTCAAGTCCCAGATGAAAACATGTTCACAGGCTGGTACTGCCACATAGCGTCCTTTCTCACCACGAAGAGTCACAAAAACAATATTACCCTTTTGGCTGCCAATAAGGCCAAAGACTGCGGTGGCTACATAGCGTAGGTATTGCTTGGTGAGCCCCATGCTGCGATGTCTAATACCTCCGCTGAGGCAATCTGTAGATGCAAACAAACAAATTACAATTCTTTTGGGATCTTGCTTCTGTTAGGCCGAAGAACACCAACTATTTACCATGTGTTTCAAAAGTATATTAACTTACTGCTTTTCAATATTTATTCACAAAGAATAAATCACTGGCATAAAACACAGGCATCTTCATTTTTCAAGTATTGCTTACTCAATATGCAATCTTTCATCCCTTACTCATCAAATTTGTTACACTGTCATGCTGATGTTACTGCCTCAATGCAACTTAACTCAATTCTGTCCAATCAGCCACCATCACAATTTTTACACCTGAGATTGGCAGTGTGACTATCTATCAATGAATAATTTCTATAAATTTATCAATGTGACAGGCAACTTCGGTGGCATACTGCATAATATACCAGACATTGGCAAATCAAATCCACTAGCCCACTCAAGAAAGAAAGATGGGCAGTCTCCTCTCAGAGGATTTCTATCTTCAGAAACCAGATGCAGAATCACTGTGAGTCAGAATTAAATCATTAGCAGTGGACAGCACCAATCTGCCAAGTACCATAGGCACTCACCTGATACAATAAATTAGGGACAACATTGAGAAGAATGGGAATTCCTGAGCATTTAATTGTTCTCATTCAGAACGTTTACAGGAGCCAAAAAGCAATTGTTCAAGAAGAACAAAGGGATACTGAATGATTTAAAAATCAGGAAAAGTGTGTCAAGGTAATTGTTTCACCATACTTAGCAATCTGTGCACTGAGCAAATGAATAATCCGAGCTGGACTGTATGAAGAATGAGGCATTAGGATTAAAGGAAGAAACATCAACAACATGCATTACAGACAACACACCTAACCTACTAAAGTGAAGAAGTCTTGAAGCACTTACTGATGAACCTCAAATACTATATAGCCTCAATATGGACTACAACTCAACATCAAGGACACCAAAATACAACTAAACCAAGAGGCAACATGATGATAAACAGAGAAAAGACTGAAATTGTCAATGATTTCAGTTTACTTGGTCCACAGTCACTGACCACTGAAGGAAATGTCACAAATCAAAACACATACTGCACTGGGCAAACGTGCTATCAAGGGTTTCTTTTAAAGTGTTAAACAGCAAAGGTGTCAGTTTCCAAAACAAGGTGTACCTCACCCAAACCATAGTTATTTTCCATTGCTTCATAAGCATGTGAGTGAAGACACCAAAGAACTACTGCCTTTAAATTGTGGGCTTGGTGAAAAGTATTGAATATACCATGAACTGCCAAAAGAACAAACAAATCTGTCACGGAAAAAATTAAGCCAAAGGACTCTGTAGAAGAAAGGATGGTTTGTTGCTATGTCTTATTGAATTAGAAAAGACTCACAGCTGACCCTCCGGAAATTTTCAGAGACAGTAAATCACACAGGAGGAGATACTCCATCCTTCTCCAGTGGAGCAGTTAGTGGATTTGAAGTTGGTTCCTTTGTGTTGGCAGCTCAATTCCTTACCACTAAGCCATGAGAGCTCTTCCTAAGGATTATTAAGGCTTACATACTTCACATATTTTGGGTATATTATCAAGAGGGGCTAGTTCCTAGAAAAGAATATCATAATTTAAAAAGTGTCAGAGAAAGAGGGAGACTCTCATGACCGGCACAACTACAAAACAATCGGCTTAAACACAGTAGAAATTTTGAGATGGCGCAGTTTCATACTGTTTCTTGTAGGATCACTGAGTCAAGCTGACTCCAATGCTTTATAACAAACAGATGTTATTAAGATAAAACTCCTGACCCCATGGACGTTACATTCTGGTATCCAAATCTCACTATTCTCAACTCAGTAAATTCCTTGTGACCCTAAAGTAGAGTTGGACTGCCTTACAGGGTTCTCAAGGCTGTAAAGAAACAGAGAGGGGGCTGGGAGAAAACCCCATCTTTCTCCAGCATAGTGGCTGTATTATATGAAACTGACTGAAAACACTCGTGATTAATAAAACAGGCAACAAGGTGAAGAGAACAATTCAAGCCTAACTTGACAAGGAAAAATGAAACGCATCTTCCCCCAAACCTATGCATCTTGAAAATAACCACTACATTAATCAGAGGCTACAACGGGTTTCAGAGCTGTTACTGTCGTTGTCGTTGTGAGGTGCCATATACGAATATGACTCATAGCAACCCTACGAACAACAGAGCTGAACCTTGTCCTATCCAGTGCCATCCTCACAATATCTGATACACTCCAGCCCATTGCTGCAGTCACTGTGTCAATTCACCTTGTTGAGAGTCGTCTTCTCTTCTGCTGTTCCTCCACTGTCCAAGCATGATATCCCTCTCCAAGAATCAGCCTCCCCTAGCAACAAGCTCAAGGTATGTGAGATGAAGCTTTATCATCTTTGCCTCCAAGGAGCACCTTTCTCCAAGACATATCTGTTTGTTCTTTTGGTAGTTCATTGTTGTTGTAGGTTGGTTGATTTAATCCAGGATATCCAGGGGAGGGAAAAAAAATCAATCCTAACTCTGCTAATATTTTATTACATAACTACTTTATTTTTCTTCTCACAGAAACGAATATAAAACTACTTAAAAATCACGAACATCAATACAGTGATAATATGCTTAGACTAGAATGGCTCCAATTCCGCTCCAATTCCTCTCATTCTTGCATCCTCCTATTCTTCACATAAGACACTAGCCATTTTTCCATCTCCTTTACAGTATTTTACATGACACTGGTAACTTCTGCTTCATATACATTGATCATGATATGTTTTGTGGAAAGCTTTCTACAAGCACACAGCTACCCTTGATCCTACTCAAAATAAACCCATTGCTCACAACTCTCATAGTGACCTACAGGACAGAGAAGAACTGATTCTTAGCGTTTCCACGGCTGTAGATTATGGAAGTAGAACACCACAACTTTCTCCAGCTGAGAGGCTGGTGGGTTTGAACTGTTGACCGTTCTGCTGCAGTCAAGCGCTTAACCACTGAGTCACAAACGTTTCCCCTAACCCACTATCGCCCACAAAACATTGAGACCACTCTACTCACTCTAGTGAGAGACCTGTAAGATGTTCCTAAACCGGGTTCAGTCAGAGGAGGATGCCAAAGGGTTCCACACACCGAGCTCAAGGCTGCACAGATGAGAAGCTGCAGCGCCGCTGGCTGCGTCCGTTCTGTTGCTGTGTACCACTGAACCAGAACCAACTCATCATAGTTGACCCTCGAGTGGGTTTTCAGAGGCAGTAAAGTGTACAAGAGACTGATCACCTTTTTTCCCCGCCGAGTGGCTAGTGGTTAACGCAGTTCAGGGCAGTCTAATGAGTAGTCTCTGGGTACCACATCTACATAGGAACATCCACAACCACCTCGGATATCCCACCCGAGCGACCGGCCCTAAATTCCAGCCCTGGCTGCAGCTCTCTATGGAGGTCTCAGCCTAAACCAGCCAAGCCCGAGCTACACAGCAAGGAAACCCAAAAGCCTAACAAGCCAGATACTCACTCTTGCCTCCACGAGGATCCCAGGCCGAATGGTTTTTCACATTGGCCCCGCCCCTTCCGGGTCAGCTTCTAGGCCCTCCTTCCGCCCCATGTTCCCATTGACTTCTAAGAGGAAATGATGAGAAAAGCCCGGTTCTGATTGGCCAGTGCAGGCCGAGCGGAAGCCAGTGTTTCCCAGACCCCAGCTTTTGCTGCTGTCACGCCAGTCTGTGCCGACTTTGACTTGCACTGCTCTCCGTGCTCCTGGCGAAGGTTGTCCGGGGATGCCAGTCGGCTGCTTTCTACAGAGAGCTTAACCCGCCTCACCCGCCGCCCGGATGGGAACGCCAAAGTGCTGTGAGAGGCGGGACGAGAGCTGGGAGGGAAGGCGGGGTCGTGCGGCCCGGGGGTGCTGCCAGAGGCACGGGACACCGCCAGGGCACGAGATGCGGCATAGAGGCTTAGATCCCTTGGGAGAATGAAACTGGTGCTTCTCCGTTGGCTGTTGGTTGTGTTTCCCTTGCCCGATGTGCTGTCATGGACGACATGTCGGGAAGACAAGGTTTTCAGACCTAGGCACAGGGGCAGTGGTGCTTTAGCAGAGAAGGCGCGGTCTATCGTAGGGGAAGTAGGTCGACCGGGAACGCTGCCAGTTGTACGGGGTCCCTTCGCCATGGTCGAGTCAATACTGCCGTCCCTGTGGACTCTGCACTCCATGAACCGAGAAGAGCTGAAATCAGGGCTGGGTAGTCTCTGAACCTGGAATGCTGAGTTGGTCTGGGTTCCCACAGCCTCTGGAAGTAACATTGCTCCGCCTTTATGTTTCCATTCCCTGACCATTTGAGGGGGAAGGGACGAGCTGCTTACTCCTGACTGGTGACTAAGGCTCAGGTGCTATCGCTCACCAGGTGGAAATTAGTGGTTACTCTCTTGGAATTCTGTCCTCTTTTATTCTCTCATTGTAGAACAGAGTTTAGAAATGTTTGTTGTGGAAATAAGCTCCTACCTTGCTCCTGCCTTCACTTTGAGCAAGACATTTTCAGCCAGCTAAATATTAGCCTTAAAGAGCATGCCATGTATTTGCAGTATTTTTATTTTTTCCAGACAGTTCTTGAGTTGACGTGTTCATTTAGTATTCGAAACAAGAGCTTAGTGGGCTCGATGAATGTGAGGGGAGGAAATTGTAAGCCAATGGACTTAGTCTGGATGTGAGAGTAGAATTTTAATACATATTGAACAAAGGCATAAAGAACACTAAACTTGTAATGTATCGAAATAAATTAATTGAACTCAAATATATGGACCGACTTCCTTTTATCCAGGCGTGAGTGGGCAGTGAAAGCATTTTGAAGAGAATATAAGCAGGGTAAAAGTTTCTGGTTTTTATTTAAAATAGTACTGTTTTCATTTTTGCAGGCCAAAAAAAGAAATTAATTTGTTGTATTATTTGTTTGTTTGTTTTTAAGATAATGATCCAAGGCCTGATTATTCCCAGTCTTTAATAATAAAATCTGATATCTCTAAGCACT